ATATGTTTCCAGGAATTTATTCATTTCTTCTAGATTATCCAATTTGATGGTACATAGTTTTACATAATATTTTCTTATAATTGTTTGTATTTCTGTGATGTTAGTTGTTATTTCTCCTCTCTTGTTTGTGATTTTATTTATTTGGGTGCTCTCTTTTCTTTTTGAGAAGTCTGGCTAGAGGTTTATCAATTTTATTAATTTTTTTCAGAGAACCAGGTCCTGGTTTTATTGATCTGTTCTATTGGGGGTTTTTTTAGTTTCTATAATCATTTATTTCTGCTCTAATCCTAATTATTTTCTTCCTTCTGCTGGCTTTAGGCTTTGTTTGTTGTTCTTTTTAAAATTCCTTTCAGTGTAAGATTAGGCGGGGTTTTTTTGAGATCTTTCTTGCTTTTGAGTTGACCTATATTGCTATATACTTCCTCTTAGAACCACTTTTGCTGCCATCCCAAAGGTTTTGGACCACTGTGTTTTCATTTCATTTGTTTACATGTATCTTTTTACTTCTTCTTTGATTTTCTGGTTCACCTATTGTTTAGTCGTATGTTATTAACCTCCATTATTTGTGGCCTTTCCAGATTTTTTCTTGTGGTACTTCCACTTTCATAGCATTATGGTCAGGAAAGGTGCATTTTCTGACTGCAGTTTTCCTTAATTTGTTGAGGCCTGTTTTGTGGCCTAATCCATGATCTATTCTGAAGAATGTCCCATGTGCACTTGAAAAGAAAGGGTATTCTGCTGTTCTGAGATGAAATGTTCTGAATATATGTGTTATGTCCAGCTGGTCCAGGGGCACCTGGGTGGCTCAGTTGGTTACACGTCTGACTCTTGGTTTCAGCTCAGGTCATGATCTCGCAGTTTGTGAATTCGAGCCCCATGTCAGGCTCCGCACTGACAGATGTGGAGCCTTCTTGGCATTCTCTGTCTCCCTCTCTCTCTGCCCCTCCTTTGCTTGCTCACTCGCTTTCTCAAAATAAATACATACATACATACATACTTTTTAAAAAATAAAAATAGGGGTGCCTGGGTGGCTCAGTTGGTTAAGCATCCAACTTCAGCTCAGGTCATGATCTCACCACTCATGAATTCGAGCACCACGTTGGGCTCTGTGCTGACAGCTTGGAGCTGGACCCTGCTTCGAATTCTGTGTCTCCTTCTCTCTCTGTGCACCTCACCCCCCCCCTTAAAAATAAATAAACATTAAAAATGTATTTAATTTATTTTTAAAATGTTTTTATTTACTTTTCAGAGATAGAGGGACAGAGCACTAGCTGGGGAGGGGCAGAGAGAGAGGGAGACACAGAATCCGAATCAGGCTCTAGGCTCTAAGCTGTCAACACAGAGCCCAACGCAGGGCTCGAACTCATGAACTGCAAGATTATGACCTGGGCCAAAGTCAGACGCTCAACTGACTGAGCCACCCAGGTGCCCCAACATTAAAAAACATTTTTTTAACAAATAAATTAACTTTATTCATTTACGAGAGACCGAGAAAGACAGAAGAGGAGCAAGAGAGGGGCAGAGAGAGAGGGAGACACAGAATCCGAGGCAGGCTCCAGGCTCTGAGCTGTCAGCACAGAGCCCGACGTGGGGCTTCAACCCACAGACTGGGAGATAGTGAACTGAGCCAAAGTCAGAAGCTCAACCAACTGAACCATCCAGGTGCCCCTGTCTTGCTGCTTTTAAGATTTTTTTTCCTTATCATTACATTTTGCAGATTTAATTACAATATGTCTTGTTTTGGACCTGCTTTTGTTGATTCTGTTGGGAGTTCTCTGTGCCTTTTGGATCTGGATGTCTGATTCCTTCCCCAGATTAGGGGCGTTTTCAGTTTTATTTCTTTACAAAAATTTTCTGCACCCTTTTTTCCTCTCTTATTCTCCTGGGACTCCTGTAATACAAATGGTACTGTGTTTGAGGGAGTCACAGAGTTCCCTAAGTCTGTTCTCGTTTTGCATAATTCTTTTTTCTCTCTTTTGTTCAGCTTGATTACTTTCCATGAGTTTGTCTTCTAGGTCATTAATTCATTCCTCTGCTTCTTCCAGGCAGCTGTTCATGGCATCAAGTGTGTTTCTAATCTATTTATTGCACTCTGTTGATCTGATTCATTTTTAACTCTTTTATCTCTGTGCTAAAGGGTTTCACTGTCTTCCATTCTTTTCTCAAGTCCAGCAAGTATCCTTATAATTGTTTCCTTAAATTCTCCATCAGGCATGTTATTTACACCAGTTTCACTTGGATCTCTGGCCGTGGCTTTGTCTTGTTCTTTTATTTGGGATGAATTCCTCTGTCTTCTCATTTTGTCTAAGTCTCTGCCTGCTTCTCTGTATTAGAAAAGCCAGTTGTGTCTCCTGCTTCTGAAACTAACGGACTTACGAAGAAAAAGTTATGTAGTGTCCAGGATCTGGCTCTTCGGGGAGTATCTCCAGTATGTGCTGTGTCCACACTGCTGATTTGGTGTTCTGTGTGCTCTTTCCTTTTTATTTTTGAATGTTTATTTATTTTTGAGAAAGAGAGAGACAGAGTGTGAGTGGGGGAGGGGCAGGGAGAGAGGGAGACACAGAATCTGAAGCAGCCTGACGCGGGGCTCAAACCCACGAATGGCGAGATCATGACCTGAGCCGAAGTCAGGCTTTCCCTGTGAAGCTCATTGGCTTTTAAAACTCCAAACTTTAAGCCTCTCTGGTTACAAGAACTCACAAAATTCAGCCCCTCTCGTTTGCTAAGCCAATGACTATAGGGAAATGTTCTTGTGCATTTCCCTGTATGCCTCTCTCTCTCTCACCCTTCTCTGAGACCACATCTGCCTCCTTTCCACAGCAGCCAGGATCCATTTCTCCCCTAAACACATCTCTTGCACTCCCTACCTTCTTGGATGTGGCCGCTTTTCTCCCTTTAGTTGTGGAGTTTGTCCTGTCAGCCTTCAGATTGATTTATTGAGTGTTTAGGATGATTTGATAGTTACATAGTTGTATTTGTGGGACAATGTGAGCCTAGAATCCTCCTACTCCACCACCATCTTTCTGTCTGTCTCTATATCCATGATTTGTGTGTGTGTCTTTTTGTTCTATGATACAACAAATTTCAGAGAGGAGAGTTAAACTCTCCAAGTAGAATTGTAGACTCATCTACTTCTTTCTTTCAGTTTTTGCTTTGCTAGGTTTCAGTGAGCCTCGTAAGTGTGCATGCGTCCCCACCTCAGCCAGTGAGCCAAGGGAGCTACCACGTGACCATTTCTGGCTACTCTCTCCTCTCCTGTCCCCTAGGCCAGTGCCTCCTCATTGGTTCCTTGTCCCACAAACTCCAACCTTCTCAGCTGCTCCAGAAGCCCGGTGTTCTTGACTTGAGCTCTGTGTTCCACAGTCTGGAGAATGCCCACAGGCATAAATCAGAGCAAAACAAACATGGAGCACACATCACTTATTTTCCTCCTTTCAAGGATTATAGCCCCACCTATCTGTTATCTGTGCCTAAAAACAGCTGTTTCATAACTTTTTTTCAGCTTTAGAATCGTTTATGGTAGGAGGGAAAGAACAGAACTGGTTACTCCTTCAGTCTATAAGTTATGTAATAACACATACATGCTGTATATTATTACCAACAGAAGTTAATGTTATGTGTACATTTAGGTTTTTTTACTTATTAAATATAAAATCTTTTAATAGCAAAACTAAAACAAATTCAGGAGGAGGAAGATAAAGAAGAGTAGAAAGCATAGCTTGCGCAGAAGTGTAAACCACACTTTCTATCCATAAACGTCTTTCCCAATATAAAAACCACTTTTCTCCCAACGGGATTTTTTAATCCTACTGTTTATGTAGTAACTTTTTCCCACACCCCATTACATTTGGTTTACATTTTGGAGTTCTACATAAGAATTTCATTTGAAAAATATTCACTACCAAAAATGGGAAGAAAGTTTTAAACTTTTATGCACCAATCCAAAAAAGTAAAGAAGGCAATGTACCTCATGCCTGAAATAATGTTGTGTGAACCAGACTAACGCCATCTTAGACAAATTGGCCATGATGGCTGCTCTGTGCTTGAGGCCTTCTGGAGCATAAGCCCTGCCCTCCACATTCTTTCTTTTGTTTAACCACACACCCTTAAGTCCACCCTTGGGGCATAGCATCCTTGATCTGCTCTGGAGATAGCAGGTGTTGTTTTTTTCATTTTATTTTATTTTTTAATTTTTTTAAGTTTATTCATTTATTTTGAGAGAGAGAGAGAGTGAGCATGACTGGGGTAGGGGCAGAGAGAGAGGGAGAGAGAATTCCAATCAGGCTCTGTGCAGAGCCCAACTCGAGGCTCAACTCAACGAACCATAAGATCATGACCTGAACTGAAATCAAGAGTCTGTGCTTAACTGCCTAACCTACTGAGCCCCCCAGGCACCCCTTTTTTTTTTTTAAGTGTATTCATTTATTTTGAGAGAGAGAGAGTTGCAGGAGGGGCAGAGAGAGAATGAGAGAGAGAGAAAATCCTAAGCAGCTTCTGCATTGTCAGAGCAGACGGGGCTCAAACCCAGGAACTGAGAGACCATGACCTGAGCAGAAATTAAGAGCGGGGCTCTCAACAGCCTGAGCGCCACCCAGGTGCCCCTGGAGATAACAGTTCTTACGGGAGGTGAGGTTTGGGAAATGTATTCATCTTGCAAGTGCCGGAGACACGCTTCTGTCTGTAAGTCCCTTAATAAACCATTTTTTTGTGGGCCTTTTTCTTCAATCTTATGACTCCTTTGGCCTTTGGAGGTCATTTTGCATGTACCGTCCTTTCATGGAACAACTGTATAGGTAAGTTCAAAGTTTCCTGAGAATGACAGACCACACTGATCTGGTACATTAAAAAAATTTTTTTCTAGGGGCGCCTGGGTGACTCGGTCGGTTAAGCGTCCGACTTCAGTTCAGGTCATGATCTCACGGTCCGTGAGTTCGAGCCCCGCGTCGGGCTCTGTGCTGACAGCTCAGAGCTGTCAGAATACAGAGTCAGAATACACCATAACCTTTGCAGAGGCTAACAAAATGTCACACCAGTATGGCACATATCTACAGAGCAAATTACCATTCTCTAAAGCAGAAGGGATCCTTAACGAACTCATAAGGCCATGAAATCAGAAGCATGGCATGTTTAGAGCAATGCAAGAGCCTCCATTATACACTAATTCAATCTCTTCACTTTACAGGTGAGTAAACTAAGCCACCACCTAATTAATAACGCAGCTGAGCTCAAGGTTGAGATTTCCCGACCCCACGTGCATTCCATTGTCCCTGACATCATGGCTGCTGCCATAGAGTCAGTATGGGTACAGGCCCCCGGGTGCATGTGATAAGACCTAAGAGAATCTAGAAGTCGCTGTGAAGAGGGAAAAATGAGTGTTTGGTCTGAGAACACTTTGTTCAAGTTCCTACGCCCTCTGCTATGGTCTGAACATTTGTGTACCCAGGTGTCTGTGCAAATCCATATGTTAGCACCTATCCCCCCCACCGAGTGATGGTATTAGGAGGGGGTACCCTGGGAAGTGACTGGGTCCTGAGAGCAAAGCCCTTATGAATGGGACTAGAGAGAGAAAGGTTTTTCCCCTTCTGCCATGCGAAGTTACAAGTGAAAAGTTGGGAATCTAGGATGTGAGCTGTCACTAGACACGATCTGCTGGTGCCCTGATCTTGGACTTCCCAGCCTCCAGAGCTGTGAGAAGTAAATGCTTCTGGTGTATAAGCCACCTGGTCTGTGACAGACTGAGGCAGCTTATCTTCCTTGGCCAAGTTAATTCATCTGTAAAAAGAGGCCTCACTCAAGTGGCCATGTTGAGGATATTTTTAAATGTAATAATGCATATGCGATCTCCAACACCACGTCTGCAACACAGTTGGCACAAAATGAAGGCTAGTATCCTCCCTTTTCTCAGTCACACTGGCATGCAAGTTGGATTCAAGGCCAAATAACCTCAACTAAAAAAAAATAAATAAATAACAAGCACCAATAGTTGAGAGACAATGAAATTCATAAGCATTTTTGTTGGTGCACTTTGTTGGGACGAAGGCAGGCTGCAGCACAGAGGAATGCTATGTGCCAGACCCCGCCTGGTTTCCAGCCTGCACATCCCTCCTACTGGCTCCCCACTCACATCCCAAGGGCAGGCGCAGTCTTCCTCCAGTTCCCAGGACCAATCTTGATCCAGGGCCAGATGTGCTCAGATGACTCCACCTCTATATCTGGCTGTCAGTCTAATTCTGACCTATTGCCCAAGTCTTGATGGCTGGATTTCTTGGTGCTTTCCTATTTGAGTCCCTGTCCCACTGACCTGATTTCTACTTTTCCCTGACCTCATTATCGTTCTGCTGTACACACCTGATAGGAAAGCCCTGACCTTGTCACATTGGCTACTCTTGCAAGCCCAAAATTACCATGGTTTCCTGGCAGATAATGGTTTCCCAGAAGCCATGAGGTTGTTGCCATGCCATCGTCTTGTCCTTAAGCTATGCCTAAATGATCCAAGGAAAGGGGCGCCTGGGTGGCTCAGTCAGTTAAGCATCTGACTTCAGCTCAGGTCATGATCTCACCAGTCATGAGTTCAAGCCGCACATTGGACTCTGTGCTGACAGCTCAGAGCCTGGAACCCGCTTTCGATTCTGTCTCCCCCTCTCTGCCCCTCCCCCACTTGTGTGTGCACGTGCACACAGTCTCTCTCTCTCTCTCTCTCTCAAAAACAAACATTAAAATAAATTTTTAAAAAATGATCCAAGGAAAGGGAGTGGTGATGGAACAGGTTCTTGCCTGTGAACTCTGAGAACTTAGAGACAGAACATGGTAAGAGCTGAGTCACTCCTGGTGATGTTCAGGAGAAAAGCCCATAAGCGCTTCCTGATTCTGAAGGACCCACCCTGTTGCTACCTTTCCTGAGACTTGGCTCTTTAGCTCTGCCTTCTCTTGAGAGCTTCTAGAATTCATCGAGTCTTTGCTTAAGTGATAGAAGATCCGTGTCTGGTGCTCACCTCCACATGAGCCTTATCCAGTATACGTCTCAACTGTTGACTATTTACCTGAACTCAGCGTGTCCTGCTGTGAGTCCGGGACCTCTCTTTCCATCGACGTGCCCACCCAGGCCAAGTCTTAAAGCATAAAAATACACACTGGTATTGGGGCGCCTGGGTGGCTCAGTCGGTTGAGCGTCTAACTTCGGCTCAGGTCATGATCTCACAGGTTATGAGTTCAAGCCCCGTGTTGGGCTCTGTGCTGATGGCTCAGAACCTGGAGCCTGGTTCAGATTCTGTGTCTCCCCCTTCTCTGCCCCCACCCCGCTCATGCTCCGTCTCTCTCTCTCTCTCTCAATAATAAATAAACGTTTAAAAAAAATTTTTTTTTAAATACACACTGGTATTTCACATTGAGATTTGCCCCAGCTTCTCCAGAGGATCATAGTTTTGGGAACTTACTCTAGTAATAGCAATTTCTTCAGTCGTATTCACTTATTCATCTACCCATCCATCCATTCAGCCCTGCATGCAACATCTGCACACAAGGCACTGTCAGTGGGTCCAGGGTTATGAAAACACAGCAGATAGCATTTCCGGTTTTCAGCATCATAGACCAGTGAAGGTAACTGCCATACCAATAAATAAGGTCGGTACAAAGGCCTAAGAACTCTTACGGACATACAAATATGGGCAATGAAAGCACTGAGTTAGGAGCAAATGGCTATCTTCCCAAAAGGGGTCAGGAAATCTTCACAGAGCAGCTAATGTTTAAAATGAGTATTGGAGGGGGGCCTGGGTGGCGCAGTCGGTTAAGCGTCCGACTTCAGCCAGGTCACGATCTCGCGGTCCGTGAGTTCGAGCCCCGCGTCAGGCTCTGGGCTGATGGCTCAGAGCCTGGAGCCTGTTTCCGATTCTGTGTCTCCCTCTCTCTCTGCCCCTCCCCCGTTCATGCTCTGTCTCTCTCTGTCCCAAAAATAAATATTGAAAAAAAAAATAAAAAAAATAAAATGAGTATTGGAGAGGGGCGCCTGCGTGGCTCAGGCAGTTGAGCACCTGACTTTGGCTCAGGTCATGATCTCACAGTTCATAGGTTCGGGCCCTGCATCAGGCTCTGTCCTGACAGCTCAGAGCCTGCAGTCTACTGTAGATTCTGTCTCTCTCTCTCTCTCTCTCTCTCTCTCTGCCACTCTCCCGCTTGTGTGCACGCCCCGCCAAAGGTGAATAAATAAACATTTAAAAATAAAATGAGTATTGGAGAAAGAATGAGTTCACCAAGAGAAAAAGGGTAGTACTGCTTTAAGAAAACACTGTAAGAATGACATATTTGTTAACCATTTAACCCTGCAATCCCACTTCTGGGATTTATCCTACAGAAATATATGTACATGCAACAAATGACTTATGCATGAGATTAACAATTGCAGCATTGTTTGTAAGAATTTGAGATCATAAACAATCCATGCGTAGGGGCCCCTGGGTGGCTCAGTGTAAGTGTCCAACTTCGGCCCAGGTCATGGCCTCATGGTTTGTGAGTTCAAGCCCCACATTGGGCTCTCTGCTGTCAGCGCAGATCCCACTTCAGATCTTCTGTCCCCCTCTCTCCCTGCCTTTCCCCTGCTTGTACGTGTGTGTGTGCACACGTGTGCTCTCTCTCTCTCAAAAATAAACATAACAATGGGGCGCCTGCGTGGCTCAGTCGGTTAAGCGTCCGACTTCCGCTCAGGTCATGATCTCACGGTCTGTGAGTTCGAGCCCCGCGTCGGGCTCTGTGCTGACAGCTCAGAGCCTGGAGCCTGCTTCGGATTCTGTGTCTCCCTCTCTCTGCCCCTCCCCTGTTCATGCTCTGTCTCTCTCTGTCTCAAAAATAAATAAACGTTAAAAAAAATTTTTTTTGAATAAATAAACATAACAAAATCCACGTGTACATTAATAAATCCACGTGTACATTAATAAATATGGCATCTTCACTTGGTGGAAGACTATGCAGCTGTAAAAAAGAATGAAGAAGGTCTCTCTGAAAGCTCTCTAATCTGAGACATCTTTAAGATATAGTGCTCAGTAAAAAAAAAAAAAAGAATAGCAACATTTAGAACAATACTGTCTGTCTTTTTTTTTTTAACTGCGGTAAAATAAGAATATACACTTGTATTCACATTTATATGAAAAGGCTATACACATAATAGACATCGGATAAAAATGGTTACTATTGAGTACGGGGACAGTAGAAGGGGAGAGAGTGACACTTTTCGTTAAACACTTAAGTTTTTCAGGGTTTTTTTTTGACAGATACCTATTAAAAACGTGAGTAATTTTGCAAAGAATATGTTGCAGGGAAACACTGAAGTTGGATACAGAGCTCAGAAGACTTTTTGCTTAACTGCTCCATGAGTCAGAAACTTTCTAGCAAAAGAAAATCAGAAGAGAATATTTTGTTTCACCTCCCTCTTACGTGGGTAGTGATACTCTAAGAGCAATGACATAATATGAGAATAGGTGTGTGCAAAAACACAAACATGAATGGAGACTTATGGCTGATGAGAGAGCAAAACATTGTTGGCAGAAAAGCCTTCCATCTAGATTTGGAAGCAGAATTTCGATTCCTTCTTATGTGGGTGTATTCATTCAATGTACACAACATTTCTTCTGCCTTATTCCTGAAAGGATATGAAGGCTCTTCATTTAAAACCCTGGGAAAATAAAAACAAATATTACTGTGTATCCTAAAGTCATCTTCCAATTAAAAAATAATCCACTGAAATTTTAGGTTTTTTTAATGTTTATTTTTGAGAGAGAGAGACAGAGAGACAGAGTGAGGGGAGGGAGGGGCAGAGAGAGAGGGAGACACAGAATGTGAAGCAGGCTCCAGGCTCTGAGCTATCAGCACAGAGCCCGACGCAAGGCTCGAACTCACAAACTATAAGATCATGACCTGAGCCGAAGCCGGCCGCTTAACCGACTGAGCCACCCAGGCACCCCAATCTACTGAAATTTTGAGCTTTAGAAGCCTCTTTCATGGAGAGTGTAGGATACAAGGTGGAAAAGTCTCAATTTACTCCAGGCAATGGGCCAGTGAATGTCATCAGACGGGCTTTTTATATGTTTTTTCCATCCTTTCAAGCCTCAGTGCCCTCCTCTTCAAAAGGAGAACAAAAACCCCCCTTAGCCATTTCATGCTATCTGATTATTATAAAATTCATTCAGACGCTCAACTGAAAGAAGATGAAATTATGTAAACTCAGTGTCTTTCAAATTAGAGTGTCCCCTAACATTTAGTGTTACCTGAGAGTTCAGTCCTAAGTTTAGAGAGAGTTCAGTCCTGGTTTCAAAAATTTTGCTTTCAGTTCATTAAGGGTGACCAGATTTGGGGGGATTGGGTCATTCTACCAAAACCCAAGAGAATCTTGGTTGTCATAGACAGCTGTTGTTTTTGTCTGCCCATTATTGCCTCCCTTTCTTTGGGAAATTATTCTTCTCCAGTCCACTTGCCAACTCAGATTTCGATTCTGCTGGAACTGCCAACTACAGTATCTAATATGTGGCCACAGGGTAGCGTACATCTGGCCAAACATAACAGGTCATTCCTCTAGCCCCAGTTATTGTTTCAAAGGAACAGGGACACGGTGGTTGGTGGGCATGTATTCCAAGCTGGATGAATCATCCTCCTGGGTGGTTGTTTTGGAGCTAGGTCAGAGGGAACCTTGCCTCTCAGATCACAAAAGCTGGAAAGATATAAATATGGCAGACAGCAGCCATATAAACTATATGTGAATGTTATAAATGTTTATTTATTTATTTATTTGAGAGAGAAAGTGTGAGCAGGGGAGGGGCAAGGAGAGTGGGAGACAGAGGATCCAAAGCAGGCTCTGCACTGACAGCAGAGAGCCCCACGCCGGGCTCGAACCCACAAGCCGCGAGATCGTGACCTGAGCTAAAGTCAGATGCTTAACCCACTGGGCCACCAGGAGCCCTGTGAATATTATAAAATTTGGAAAGCTACTTGATGCATTTTTAAAGTCATTTGGGTTGTTACCATTATGTATGATTAAAAAATTTTTAGTGCTGGGGTGCCTGAGTGGCACAGTCAGTTAAGGGTCCAACTCTTGATCTAGGTTCAGATCATGATCTCCCGGTTTGTGAGTTCGAGCCCCAAATCAGGCTCTGTGCTGATGGCATGGAGCCTGCTTGGGATTCTATCTCCCCTTCTCTCTGACCCTCCCCCACTTGTGTGTACTCTCTTTCTCTCTCAAAGTACATAAACTTAAAAAAAGTTATTTTTTTAAATTTTTAGTCCTATGATTTTGTTTTTCAATTTAAAAGAAAGAAAAAAACTTCATGGGAAGGTATAAAAATATCAAACCACTATGATGTACACCTGAAACCAATAGGATATTGATGTCAATTATACTTCAATTAAATACACACACACACACACACACACACACACACACACACAAGATAACAAACAGGCCGATTAAACATTTGAGGTAGTAAAGTATACAGGACAACTTAGAGAATTTGGTACAGATTGGAGTGGGAAAGCCTTCGTAGAAATAAAGAATTTTAGTTGTACCTTACATGGATGAACAGAGGAAAATGGTGACCACATTTTGTGCAGAAAAGAGAGCTAGTAAGAAGACTGACCTGACAAGAGGAAGGAGTGGGTGTCAGTAGAAGTGCAGTGGGCCAGAAAACATGAGTGGTATGTGAGAGTTTCAAGACTAAGGGAGGAGCAGGGCCAGCCCGGAGGTGAGGTAAGGGGGAGTACATAAAAGCCCCCTCCAGCCTGAGGAGTAGAGGAGGCGGCAGGAGCAGGCCTGGCGTGAGGTGCCTACCCCGGACTCACGTGCACTAGACATAATTACATTCCTAACTGCCTTGTGTCTATGGAAACAAACTCCGTGTATGCCCCTACACCCCACCTCCCCCCAGCAGCCCATCACCATGGCCTCAGCTGGTTAGAACAGATATGGAGGTAGGACAGGGCCATCTGAATGCCCACCAATGGCCTAGCGTGGCCTGGTGCTCAGGGTTTTTCCCACACAGGGAGAACTGGGCCAGTCCTCTCCTCTTTCTTTCTGCCTCTGGCATTTGCTTTCTCTCTCTCTGGAGAGCCAGAGAAAAGGTTCTTACAGCTCCAGGGGCTGATGTGAAAGATTATGAAGCAGGCTGTAGGCCAGGCACAGTTCTCCAGAAAAAATAAGAGTTAACTTTGAATTTCAGATCAACAATAACAACAACCATTTTTTTTTTTTTACTATGAGTATGTGCCAGGTAGTGCACGAGACATACTTACGCTAAAACATCGTTTGTTCATTATTCATAGCCGGAGGTCAAATGTAACTGACCTAGCTACATTTCTAGCTTTGTAACATTTCTAGTTACACGTTCTAGCTTTTTCACTTGCTAAATCTGGCAATCCTTTCAGGTATCCTTTAGCAGCATGTGAGTGTGGAGTCTGTGGAGTGTTAAAAACCAAAATTCAACTCAGTAAATTTAAAGATCTATTTGGCTTTTATTAGACAATGTATGAATAAGGCAGAAGGGCGACCCAAAGAGTTGTACAGAACGGAAGGCTTTAGTAGGAAGAAGGGTGAAGCAAGGAAGTTATTTTGCAAAAGTTGGAGCGCCTGGGTGGCTCAGTCGGTTAAGAGTCCGGTCACGATCTCACAGTCCGTGAGTTTGAGCCCCGTGTGGGCTCTGTGCTGACAGCTCAGAGCCCGGAGCCGGCTTCCGATTCTGTGTCTCCCTCGATCTCTGCCCCTCCCCTGCTCAAGCGCGGGAGCCCTCTCTCTCAAAAATAATAAGATAAACATAAAAAAAAAAAAAGTGATTAGCAAAAGAAAAGAAAGGATTGTTTCAGGCAAGATAACCTTCCCTTACTGGGATGGGCACTGGGGTCTTGATGAAGAAGACCCCTGTGACAGATTACCTCAATGCTACTGATCAGAAAATTCCTGACGGACCAGTTAAGTCTACATTTCCGGGGGAGGTTAAAACTACCATTAGATTAGGCATTCGGCCCGGGTTCACTGACTTGGGGCCTTAGCCATTTGATGCTCAAGGTTTTCTTTGTAACAGGAGCAAAGCAGTGCGGATCTCTCTTTCTGCCCTAAGGAGACTCTGCCTCGATGCGGCTGGTGTGTGTCTTGTCCTCTCCCTGCTGGAGCCCCGCTAAGTCATGGAGAACACTTACTGTTCCTGCCTGGGAATCCCAGCTGCCCAGTCTTCCCTGACCGGACACCCGATGTACTATAAGTGAGCCATAGGGTTTCATCTCCATGGAGTCAGGCTGTAACTGTGCCAGACTTTATCCTCCTACACCCCAGGGAAAGTCTCCCAGACTAGGCCTTCGAAAGGAGGGAGTCTGATATAAATGCCCCCTCTCTCCTTCTTCAACCTCTCTCTAGCTAATGTAGTCTGTCTTTGAAGCCCCCAGTTGGGTGCCCCCATGCCCACCCATCCCTCAGGAAAACCCTGCCCTCCCCATAGGAGGAGGTTCCTCCCCTCGGACTTTGGTAGGGACTTGCAAACTTGAGCACCCGAGAGGCTGTGCTTTGCTTAGTCACAGCTGACCATGGGAGGGCGAGGATCATCCCCAGTGTTTGATGTCTTTGGCATCCTTAGAAATGTCCCTAAAAAGCAATGCACACCTCTCTAAGGTGTGAAACAGGGTGCTGTCGAAAAAAACCACCAGATGCCCAACAGAAGCAAGGCAAGATTTTATCCACGGCCTGGCCAAACCTGATATCCCGATCTTAAGGAGAAAAGTGCCGAGAATGGCCCCGAACAAAGGTAGCAGTGAGCTTATATGGATTTTAGCAAGTCAGAATACGTCATTATTTAGTTAACCAATTACAACTTACAACATTTCATGGTAGCCAATTATACTGTGACACACAGACGTTAGTTTTGGCGGGAACCTATCAATTTAAAGTTCTTTGTCCTAAGAGGGTTTAAAGTGGCCAATCATAGACACCTAAGATACCATGGGGCAGTGAGTTCGTGACTTTTTACATGTTGGTCTTGGCTAGGCCAGATCTGGGTAGAAGGGGTGGGGGAGCGTTTTGCCACCTAAGTTATCCATTTAGCAAGCAGGCGAAGTTACACAAGCGAGATAGGGTGGTTAGTAATATTCGATAACCCTAATAGGGAACTACATAAGCTTTTATCTCATTATTCATGAAAGGTGAGTTTAAGCCGAACTTACATACAATAAGCTTTCTGATATCTTATAAGTTGACCTATTACAAGGTGAGCAGTTTTTTCTCAACTACAATCACATACAAGGGAAGGATTATTCTTCCTGGAAATGGTACATATTTGACAAGGTGCAAAAGAGTAATTGTGTTGAGAAAGAATAGCTTCTGTCCCTTAGATCTAGCTCACATGACCAGAGGTGTAGATGGCTCTCTTCCGCATCCTCAGGAGTGGTGCCAGCTCTGCTTAGATCCTTCTTTATTATACACCTCCTCCTCCTAGACTAGCTAGAAGGTGAAAGTTTTCCCAACCATTTAGCAGTCTACAGAGGCAGGAGGTGAGAACTACGTGACAGAGAGGAGAGGAATGGAGGGGAGATGCACAGTGACAGTCAAAATGCCACAAGAGAAAATGTAGCGTTGATTCCTGGTATCAGATCCTATGTTTTGGACTTCCATAAAACCTCTACATATATTTTTTTTAATGTTCTTTTATTTATTTTTTTTAACGTTTATTTATTTTTGAGACAGAGAGAGACAGAGCATAAACGGGGGAGGGGCAGAGAGAGAGGGAGACACAGAATCTGAAACAGGCTCCAGGCTCTGAGCCATCAGCACAGAGCCTGACGCGGGGCTTGAACTCACGAACCGCGAGATCATGACCTGAGCCGAAGTCGGACGCTTAACTGACTGAGCCACCCAGGCGCCCCTTAATGTTCATTTTTAAGAGACAGAGAGAGAGAGAGAGACAGAGTATAAGCAGGAGAGGGGCAGAGATAGAGGGAGACATAGGATCTGAAGCAGGCTCCAGGCTCTGAGCTGCCAGCACAGAGCCCGACACAGAGCTCGAACTCACAAACCGTGATTTCATGACCTGAGCAGAAGTCGGTCGCTTAACCAACTGAGCCACCCAGGCACCCCTTTTGTGTTTTTTTAAATGTTTGTTTATTTTTGAGAGAGAGAGAGAGAGAGAGAGAAAGAGAGAGTGTGTGTGAGTGGGGGAGGGGCAGAGAGAAAGGGAGACACCGAATCTACGAGGCAGGTTCCAGGCTCTGAGCTGTCGGCACAGAGCCTGACACGGGGCCCAACCCCACAAACGATGAGATCATGACCTGAGCCGAAGTCAGACACTTAACCAATTGAGCCACCCAGGTGCCCCACGTCTACATATGTTTATAAGAATAAATACAGCAACCAGTTTCATCTAGAAAAGGGGTCAGCCATTTTCTGTGAAGGGCCAGATAGTAAATGTTTCAGGCTTCACAGGCTATACAGCCTCTGTTATGCCCAGAATTCGTGATCCCCAAAGACCACTAGGGAGCCGAGTCCGATGCAAAAGCAAAGAGCCTTTATTCGAGCTAGCTTGAGCTCAATCCCCTACCTGCACCGACGCAGCGGTGAGATACCAGGGAAAGAGAGCGAGTTTCAAAAGGACAAAGGTTTTATTGGGGCCTGGGGGCAGTTGGTGAGGTAATAGCTGTGGCCTCAGCCGATTGGCTGGGGAAGGGTCCTGGGGAAGGGTCTGAGTCCTGTTAGGCAGGTGAGGGGGGGGTTACTCAAGGGGAGGAGGTGTGGTCAAGGTGAAGGACACAGAACAAGATGAGGTCGGCTGGCGTAGGCCCGCCCTTTCACCTCCAGCAACTACTCTACTCTGCATTTGTAAAAGCAGTGGTAGGTGATATGAATATGAATAAGCATGACTGTGTTCCAATAACACTTCATTTACAAAAACCAATCACAATACCATTCTCCAATAAAAGAAACCGGGACTCTTTGGGAGAAATGGCTTGTTCTAGGCACTGGGCAGGGAATGTAGGAGTCGGGAGTATCTTGTAGTGCCAGAAAGTAGGGAAGTGCTCAGAAAACAAGAAGACAGGGAGCATGTGAAAGGGACACAGGAGCCAAGCCGAAAGAGCTCCCCATTGTCAAATCTAGGACAGTTTGAGCAACAAAATAAGTAAGTACAGTAAACCTCGGAACGCGAGTAATTTGTCCTGCAAGTGTTACGCAAGAAGAGCAAATAATTCTAATAAATTTTAACTTGATAGACGAGCAATGCCTTGTAATATGAGTAGTATGTGACACCGAACATCACACGATCACAAAGGAGCCAATGGTTCTTGCCTCTCTGGGTCTCTCTCTTTCGCTGCAGGATTACGGGTGATGTCAATGCAATGTCACATTTCTGCGAAATCTTAAACTGGAGGCAAAAGCAAGTGTCATTGGATAGGTTCCTTGTTAAAGTTTCCCAAAAAGATTCCATTGAGCCAATAGATAGCAGTGATTCCATCAGTGATAGTGAAAGTTGTCCTACACAATAACCCTCCTCTCTCTCTCTCTCTCTCTCTCTCTCTCTCTCTCTCTCTCGTCTCCCTCACACCAGCCCTGGAGGTTTTCAAAGGTAAGTTAATTTGTTTATTTTTCTTTATATTTTGTATTTTCTTTCTTATTTTATATTACAGTAATGTAATCATCTTATATAAATATTTTTGGATTGTAGAACAAATCATCTGAGTTTCCATTATTTCCTATGGGGAAATTCACTTTGATATACAAGTTCCTTGGATTTCAAGCATGCTTCAGGAACGAATTATGCTCACAAATCAAGGTTTTACTGTACTTTTAAAATGAAGGTTTTTTTTTCTTTTTGTCGTTCATGTATGGTGAAGGCTAACACGTCAGGCGACAGAGAGGAGGGGCACGCCACACCACAGGGGCCACACAAGAAAGCACCAGTGTTGACCGGGAGGCCAAGGGAGCAAGGAGGAAATGTGGGCAAGAGCTCTTAATGCAGCTTCTGCAGGAAAGAATATGGTAAGGCAGGATAAGTGGGTTAAGTGGATTTGGGGCCAGTTTGAATAATTTCAGTGGCTGGGGGGCATAAGGGCTGCCCCTAATACCTGGACCTGGCTAATCAAGGCAGGGGGATAGTAGTCCTGAGTGTGAGAACCCAACAGAGGAGGTGGTAGGATGATGGCTCTGGAGTGGTTGGTTTGCATTTGAAAGGAGCACTCAAAAGAGAGTCCTTTACTATCTCTAGGAATTGGCTGTCCCTGGAGGGGTTGTCGCTTCAGGGATGTCAAGCATCAGTAACACATGGTTAATACAGTAGTATTGGATGATACCCAATGATTTATTTTACACCCGGAGTATAAGATAAGTATCCAGGAGTCCACACTGGTGTAATAAAAGATTAAAAATTTAAATAAATGGAGGAGAGTCAAGTCTTCCTTATAGAATTCCAAATAACTTATGTAACTCCTCCCTACTCTAAGAGATGGAACTTAATTCCTACCTTGCTGTCTTGAGAATAAGCTGTGTCTGGAGTATAAGCTATGCATAGTGACTTGCTTCAGAAGAGTAGAGGATAGGAAGAGAGGGAAAAGATGTTTTTGTCCAAGAGCAGGGCAGAATCTTCTATCAGAGAGTATTTCATTATCTGTTCCCTCACTTCTAGCCTTCAATCATTTTATACCATTTCCAGGATCTATCCTCCTTACATGAGTGAATGTGTCTCATAGAGGAAGTAGGGTTGTTGCATCCACACGACTCCTGAAACAGAATGCTATGGGCACCAGTGACAGTCCCAACAAAACTTATTGCAATGAGAGGCAAGGCCAACCGATCGGGACCGACACTCTTGACCAGAGTGCGGTTTCGAACAGCCGGGGTACAGAGTTTTTATAGCCGACCACATCGTCTTATCATCACCTGGGGACAGAACAAAGAAATAGTTCCCAGATAGGGGTGGAAACAGTTCAGACATGCCCTTGCCCCAATCCAATCAAACATAAACCAGTTGATTTCCCTTGAACTTTTGTTCCCTTGATTGATAGGACAAGGCTGTTATCTCTTAATCTACAGTGTAAAAACAAAGCTGTTATTTCTTAAGGCTACAGGTTAGGCCTACACTACAATTTAACCCTTACAGGGTAACTTAAGCAGATAAAACAATATTTGGTTGGAGGGGCACCTGGGTGGCTCGGTCGGTTAAGCATCAGATTCTGGATTTTGGCCCAGGTCGTGGTCTCATGGTTCATGAGTTCTGTGCTGAGGGCGCACAGAGCCTGCTTGAGATTTTCTGTCTTCCTCTCTCTCTGCCCCTCCCCCCCATGCACACACGTGCTCTCTCTCTCCAAAATAAATACACATTTAAAAACAAAAAGGAATGTTTGGTTGCAAAATCTTAGGATGATCTTCCAGGATCATGGAAATTAGACAATGTCCCAAGTTCCCTCCATCAAAAATCGCAGCCTCTCCAAGTCTGTTCTTCACATCCATAGTCCCTATAACCAAAGGGGGCTGAACATTTTCTGATCGTTTTCTACAGTTCTATATTTTCCATTAGTGGCCATTCTTATTCCCTTTGCTCACTAACATGGAACAGTACAGGTATTCTAAAGCAATTCATTGGAGGCAATTCAGAGAATAAAAAGAAGGTCATTATGCAAATACGTATTAACTGTTATTCAACCTTGAAAAG